CGGAGCCTGCAGCCGTGGGGGGCGGAGCCTGCAGCCGTGGGGGGGGGAGCCTGCAACAGGGGGCGGAGCCTGCAACGGGGGGCCGTGTTCTGGGGCATGATTGATCGGTTGGCTCCAGCAGCCCAATGAGTCAATACATTGGTTGGAAGTTAACGTGTGAAAAACAGATTTAAACAAACATTAAAGGGCCAGTATCATCTAAAATCAATTTGTTTGAGAAATCCTTTAATCTCCATGGCAACCGTTCAGGTGTTAAAACACCAGGGTGGACCTAGCCCCGCCTTCGAGGCGCAGCTCCTCCCCTCTCAGCTCCTTCAGAGTAGCCAACAGCAATTAGCAATCAGTTGCTGAGTGCTAAATTAACATAAGTACATAACTTAGGAAATGTCATTAATTTACTAAAACTGGAGATAAATACAAAAATAATTGATTGATTACAGCTATAACTTTATAATTGTTATGTTTTAATAAATTTCATGTTCCACCTGTCATGGAGCAGCTAACAGACACACCTGTTCAGGGTCACGGATTAGGATGTCTGGAGCTGACCTGAAGACTCAATAAAAACCACGTTTCCTCTGCCTGAGATTCCCGCCAAGAATATCACTCAGTGGGTGGGATCAGAGCAAACCCTGACGTCTGATTGGCTGCTTCAAACAGCAACACGACTCCTTCCTGTTCACTCTGATGTCACAATAACTGCTATAATACATTACATATAAATACTTAGTTTTTCAAATGAAATCAATACTTTTAACTGCAGCACATACAATTAATTCTATATTTGATAAATAATTTCTAGATAATTTCTGTTTCATATTGAACTGTTCTAATCCTGCTGCTAAAGTAGAAACCTGATATTAACACAAATACTGAAGATCAAGGCTCAGCTCTGCTTAAATCCTCTTTAATCCATAGGATCTGAAGGGATAAAGCGGATCCAGTGGGACCGTTTGTGACGTTTGTGGCGTTTGTGACTTTTTCCAGTTTGTGACGTTTGTGGCGTTTGTGCGCTCAGGGCCGCTGGGATCCGTCAGGAACCTGCGGGTCACCGACCCCACCACCAGCACCCTGAATGTCCGCTGGGAGCCGCCCGAGGGAAACGTCCGCGAATACGTCGTGACCTGGGCGCCGACGGCCGGGGGAGAGGAGGAAATGGTGAGAGCCGCTCTGAACACGCCCAGAGATGCTCAGTCCTGTCTGACATATTTTTTAGATTTAAATGGACATATCAGAGGCTTTCCTTTTCCTCTGCTGCTCAGTTTTACCCTGAAATCAGTTTCCAGACCTCAGCTGGTTGATTGATGAGGTTTTCCTTCTTCCTGAATGAACGTCTGTAGTCCTGAACAGCTTCCTGGAGGAATCCCACATTTAATTCCCAGCATTCAGTTGCTGCCTCTAACCTGCATGCAGACTCTCCTTTGTTTGGGATGCATGACACAAATTCCTTCACATTTCTAAAGTCCAGACGCAAAATCAAGTTTCCACTCAAATTTTGGACAAATTTAAATTATAAATAAAAAATTTCAGTCTGAATTTCCTGCAGAGATTTCTGTCTGGTTTGAAATGAGGAAGACAGGAACCTGATGTGTCCAGACTCTTATTTTCCATATTTATCCTGCACAAAGCTGAGATCCCAAACTGAGCGCCATCCAGCGGAGCCAGGTCTCAGCTGATCCCTCTTCCTGTCAAACCAGGACCAGGTCCCTGGAACCGTGTCCAGCACCGTCCTGAAGCAGCTGCAGCCGGACACAGAGTACTCGGTCACCGTCGTCCCCGTCTACCCAGAGATGGAGGGGAAGTCCATGTCTGAGACGGGGAAGACAAGTGAGACGCTTTCCCCTCCGGGAGGAACGCCGGCTGGATTTACGGTTAAACCCAGTGATTAAAACCCGCGTGTTCCTCCAGATCCTCTAGGCGGAGTGAAGAACCTGAAGGTGGTGGATCCCTCCATCAGCACGCTGACCGTCCGCTGGGACCCGGCCGTGGGAAACGTCCGGACCTACAAGGTCTTCTACGCCGCCCAGCCCGGAGGACAACAGGAAGTGGTGAGAGCTGTTTCCTGTCCCAGCTGACCTGAGGAGAAGCAAACATTCACCCTGAGGTCCAGCAGAAACTGATCAGGTCTTATGGGTCCAACAGGAGGAGGTTTCCGGCGGCACCACCACCACCATCCTGAGGAACCTGCAGGCCGACACGCTCTACAGCGTGGCCGTGGTTCCCGTCTACCCCGACGTGGAGGGGATCCGGCAGGAGGACCAGGGCAGGACGAGTAGGTCCACCAGAACCGGCCCGTGTCTGACCGACCTGCAGACCGGTCCGACCCGATTGCAGCCGTTTCTCTGTGTGGTGAACCAGGCAGGAGAGATCGCAGCCTGAAGGGGTCGTTTAAGGTCAGGGTTCGTTTAAGGTCAGGGTTAATTTAAGGTCAGGGGTCATTTTAAGGTCAGGGTTCGTTTAAGGTCAGGGTTCATTTAAGGTGAGGGTTCATTTAAGGTCAGGGTTCATTTTAAGGTCAGGGGTCAATTTAAGGTCAGGGGTTAATTTAAGGTCAGGGGTTAATTTAAGGTCAGGGTTCGTTTAAGGTCAGGGTTCATTTAAGGTCAGGGTTCATTTTAAGGTCAGGGTTCGTTTAGAGCTGTACAGGAAATATCAAATATGGCATTATGGAGAAGGTAGCTTCTAGCCATTGGTAACCATGGAGACAATGCCGCACCCCCATGTAGCCTAGCATGTATGGAAACAACTGGTTAGCATCTTTTAAAGTTTAAGGGGAAACGCCGTTTTTGACATAGTGACATAAATCCTGGTGTGAATTCAGGCAAAGTCGGATCAACTCGTCAGGAGGTTGCCGTGTTGCTAGTTGCTGTCCGTTGACCCAAACGTCTGTGTTCAGTTGCTGCTGCAGAAACGACCGTCTGAACAGTTTGAAAGGTTACAATGTGCAGCAGCTCTTCAGATGGAAACTCCTTAAATCAACATCTCACAGCGGGATGGGATAATGCTTTCAGAGTTTGGCTGCCCGGATGTTCCCAGGAATCCAGGGGCCTGGTTTGCAGCACTGGAGTCACTTCAGATGTTTGGATGTGTTTTATTGTGGAACCTGAGGACAGTGAGCTGCTCAGAGTTCATCAGCTGCCTGTGGAAGCTGAAGCGCTCTCATAAAGCAGCGTGTTAAGGACTCCGCCCGTCCGCCGCAGCCTGCAGGGTAAATCAAACAGCCTGTCGTTCCTTTCAGAGCCTCTGGGCGGAGTGAGGAACCTGCAGGTGACCGACCCGACCACCAGCTCCCTGAGGGTCCGCTGGGAGCCGGCCGAGGGCGACGTCCGTCAGTACCGGGTCCTGTACGCGCCGGCGGCCGGCGGCGCCGAGAGCGCGGTGGGTGGGAGTTTAACTCCGGTTCCACCCGGACCAGTCCAGAACCTCATCGTTATAAGACAGAGCTGATCTGAATGAGGACGGGTCAGGAGCGAGGAGCTGATGCTGTGTTTGTGCTGCAGACGCAGGTTTCCGGGCTCACCACCAGCACGGTTCTGACGGAGCTCAGCCCGGACACCGAGTACAGAGTGACCGTCGTCCCCGTCTACGAGGACGTGGAGGGAAACCGCATGTCTGAGAACGGGAAAACCAGTGAGTTCCTCCCGAACCGGACCGGGCCATGGTTCTGTAGACCGCCGGGGGTTCTGACCGCTCTCTGTGGTCCGTTCGCAGAGGTTCTGGGCGGGGTGAAGAACCTGCAGGTCACCGACCCAACCACCAGCTCCCTGAGGGTCCGCTGGGAGGCGGCTGAGGGCAACGTCCGCCAGTACCGCATCTTTTACGTCCCAGCAGCCGGCGGCGCCGAGGACATGGTGGGCGGCCGGGCCGGGCCGGTTCTAGATTAAACTAAGTATTTCTCTGGATTCTGAGGAAAGCTTTCAAACTTTAAAGGGCCGGTATCGTGTAAAACCAACGTTTTTCATCTTCCATCGTGTTTTAGTGTTTTCCCAGGAGAACTCAGCTCCTTCAGACTAGCCAGCAGCAATTAGCTAACATCTGCTGAGCTCATTATTGGAGCTGCTGCTCAGAGTGGCGCTGGTAGAAACGTTGTTAAGGGATTAATACAGGAGCCATGACTTCCTGGAGGTGGAGCTTCAGAAAGAGCAGGAGCTTCTTAAAGAGACAGAGACACAATTTCAAGGCGTTAAATCAGGAAGTAAAAGTTCCCGTTGAGTCATATCATGAAGGTACTGTAGTTCCTGCCTGGATAACATGTAGCACTGGCCCTTTAACAGGATAGCTTCCTGGCTTGGTTCTGGGCCGTGCAGAACCCCTCAGAACCGACCCGCCTCTCTGTGTCTGTGGGAAACAGGAGCAGGTTTCGGGCGGAACCACCGACACGGTGCTGAGGAACCTGCTGTCGGACACGCCCTACACCGTTACCGTGGTTCCCGTTTACCCCGAGGGCGAAGGCTTGCGCCAGGCCGACAGAGGAAAGACCCGTAAGTACCGACCCGGTTCGGCAGAACCCACCGTTCACCTCTCTGGTCTGTCAGCTGTTTGTTCCCCTGCTTGTGTTTCCTGGGCTTGGACTCGGTTCTGACCGGACCCGGTCAGTCGGGGTTGATGTTTTCCTCCTGGCGCAGCATTAATGGATCCAGAACTAAACTAGTTTGTATGTAATAAAAATAAATCCACTTTCTGCTCAGTTATTGGCTGAAGGTCCGTCAGAAATATTTCTAGTTTTTAATCTTCAGATTGGAGCAAAGAGTTTCAGGATCCTGGTCATTCATGGAACTTCTTTACAAATGTGGACGCTGACATTAGCATTAGCTGCTACATGCTAGCATTGAGATGCTATTTCAGACTAGCACAGCTTCACTTATGTGCTAACTCCTTTTAGCACAACCTAAACACAACAACAGCGTTTTCCAGCGTCCAATCAGATCGTTTGAAGCAGAAATGAAGAGAAGCTGCTTCCATCGCTAATGTTAGCGGATGTAGCGGTGCGCCAGATTTACGGTCGTACCAGAAACATTCACAGAAAAAGGTTCCAGTTGGAATGAAAATGTGATCAATAGCATCAGAATTTTTAACATAACGAGTTTCTCACCAGTGACTCCAGTTTCCCTGGTGGTGAGCCTGGAACAGGACCTTCTGCTTTTATGGCATCGCTTTGCACATCTGGTTGTGTTTATCTGTTGCTGTAAAACTGGTGTTTTACCCCCAACTGGGTCGGCGGGTTCAGAGTGAGACCAAACAACCTCTGACCCCCAGAAGAACCCGAACCAGGCTGCTCTCGGTGTGTTCCTGCCTGACCTTGTGTTGACCTCTGACCCCTGCAGTTCCGCGGACGCCGCCCAGGAACATCCAGGTGTACAACCCGACGCCCAGCAGCCTGAACGTCCGCTGGGAGGCGGCGTCGGGCCGGGTGCAGCAGTACCGCGTGGCCTACGCCCCGCTGAGCGGTGCCCGGGCCGCCGAGTCGGTGAGTCACACCCCGCCGCAGAAACCGGGTCAGAACCGGGCCGATATGAGCCGGATAATGGATCCGGTCCGGTCCAATCAGCTGTTTACATAATTTTGTGTGAAACTGAAGGAGTTTAAAACGTCAAGCTGAGGTTTAAAGGTTTGGTTTCGTTCTCTGCACAGATAAAAAATGTTTTCACTGATCCGGTTCCGGCTGGTTCTGATCCAAACCGAACCGTCAGGGAACGAGTCAGAGCTTTTTAACTTCCTGGAAGTTCAGGATCTGTATCCCGGTCCTGATCCGGTACCGGGACCCGATCTGGCCAGAAGTCCTTCAGGCGGTTCTGTTCGTTTGCTTCAGCGTTTGGACGTCTCCTCAGTTTTACTGGCTTCCTTCTCATCACTTTACATTTTTAATTTTTATACATTTTTTTACTATTATTATTTTTGTTTTTTATTATTAGTATTTATTTAAATGAATTTCCTGCTGGCGGTTCCCATGACGTCAGCTCTGGTTTTACGGCGTTCTGGGCCGAGCCTGCAGAACCTGGCGACCCGTGTTGCTGGGCGGTTAGCGTTAGCTCTGATGAACTTCCTGTCTCAGCGTTTCCAAGCCGGACAGAACCGATTATTTCTGCAGTCTGAGCCGATGTCGGTTCTGGAAAAGCGAGCAGAACTGGACCTCATTCCTGTTTTTGCTCTGTCTCTGGTTCTGGAAGGTTCTGGTTCCTGGAAGCATCACCAATGCCTACCTGGACAACCTGATCCCGGACACGCCCTACGCCATCACCGTCACGGCGCTGTACGCCGACGCCGAGGGGGCGTCGGTCAAGGGCGACGGCAAAACACGTAAGAACCCGACCGAAGGCCGAACCGGCCCGGTTCTGGTCCGGTTCTGGTCCGATTCTGGCCCGGCTCTGGCTCTCTGCAACCAAATCACTGAGAGTTAATGAAAGAACGGGGTCAGGGGAACCGCACTTTAAAACAAAACAGGATTCTTGTAAAAAATTAGATTAATGTCATTTTTAGGTAAATAATTTCTTCCTTTATAATCTGTAATCGGATTAATCAGAATAAATAATGAAGCATGAAGAAATGCATTTTAGTTCACACTGAGTTTTAATCTCAACATGACAAACATCGTCAGAGTAAAACCGTCTCAAACTGAAACAATGGTGTCAGAAATTCAGATCCTACAAATTAGTGGCGCAGATTAATCATTTAAGTTAAATTTAGCCTAATTTTAGTTTCTACCACAGCAGTTGATTTTTAACTCAGATGTATTTTCATAAAATAGGTGACAAGGTTATTTAGTTTTATTTTTATTATTTTTCATTTATTTTTATTGGTCTTTATTATTTTACTGTTTATGCCATTTTTTGTTTACATTAGTAATTTATCTTTTTAAATGTATTTACATTTTTAATGTTTATTTACATTTTTTTCATTGGTATTTTTATTTATTTAATTTTTAAAGATTTCATTAAAATGTGAAATCATAATTTTTATAATTTATTTTTATTTTATAAAATTGGTTAATGGCCATTTTCAAAAGTTCCTGATAGGTTTTCTTTTTGTCTTTCCGCCCAGTCGTCCATGTGATTCCCTGATTTTCAGTTTCCACACAGGAGACAGAATAAAAGCCAGACAGAAACTAAAGGGAGCCGGACAGCGTCCCTGTGGCGCTCCGGACACATTTCCTCTCCCTGCAGGGTTAACAGCCAGTCCCAGGTGGAGTCAGTGTGTTTTCCAACCGTGTGTGTGTTCCAGTGCCCCGAGCCGGCCCCAGGAAAATGCGCGTGTACGACGCCACCACCAGCAGCCTGACGGTCGGCTGGGACCACGCCGAGGGCCCGGTCCGCCAGTACAGGATCGCCTACGCCCCCATGACCGGAGACCCCATCACAGAGTTTGTGAGTTCAGCTTTCCGCCTTGGACTGGAAACAGGAATCGATAAAAACCCGAAAGGTAGACCAGCGGTTCTGGTTCTGTTAGCAGAACCTGGGCCGGGATCCAGACCGAGGAGTCTCAGCTGAAGTCATTCTAGTTCTCGGCACAAACTGCTTCATTAAAACCCGTCTGCTGAAAAGAAATGGTCTGTTTTCACGTTCTGGCTGTTTTGGGTAAACTCTGCTGACGTTCCGGCTCAGATATGCGATGAGGTCACTTCCCAGGACTCCCTCCATCCTATGAATCACCGTTAGCACGGCTAATTACGGCCTCTGTTGGACCAACACTGTCATGAGGAGCATCATGACATTATTAATGGCTCTGGGAACTGCCGGTGAGTCGCTGCAGACTGAGCAGAACCTCTGCGGTTCAGAACCGTTAGCTTCACCAGAACTGCCAACCGTTCTGCAGCGACTCAGCTTTTAGTCCCACAGGAATTTAAGCTGTAAAATCTCAGTTTTCCTCATTAAAACAAATTTAATTTAGTTACGCTGCTGTCAGCATTCATGCCACCGTTGGACAACATGCTGCTAACAACACTTAGCTGACATTAGCATTTTGGCTAATTTTAGCTTACACTTTAGTGTTTGCATACTGAACGGAGTAAGCTGATGTTAGTAACCTACATGCTGATGATAGCAGTTAACTCTCCATTAGCATTGCAGCTAATTTGGATTTAGAAGCTAAGCTTAACAAATTGAATTGAATGACTCAATGCTAGTCAACATGCTATCAATACCCTACATAATATTGACATAATTTTAGCTAACCTAAGCACTTTAGCTAATCTTAATTAACGCACTTGATTACATCTTAGATGGAGTCCATAACTAGAGGTCAAAATGCTACTGATAGCCCTCATGCTAATGAAAGCATTTAAGCTAAAATTAGCGTTTTAGGTTATTTTGATAGAAATGAAAAATTTAGCACTTAAATTCAGGGACTTCCTAATCAATCAATCAGATTTTATTTGCATAGCACATTTCAGCAGCAAGGCATTTCAAAGTGCTTTTCATAATTAAAATAAAAACAGCATGTAATAAACGGTGAGAATGAGAAATAAAAAGCTGTTGAACTTTAGTTGAGACGCCGTCAACTGGGACTCCAACCCTTTGGACTTTAGTCAAAACACCGTTTGACAAGGACTCTAACCTCTCGGACTAATCCCACTAATAAAACTGAACAAAAAGCAGCCGGAGTCCAAAGACTTCAGAACCTCAGTGTTGATCCAAATCTCTAGAACTGGAGAACCAAAGTGGATCAGTAGAACATCTTAAACTCTGCTCTGTGAAACTGACGCCTTTCTGTCTCCTGATGTCCCAGACGATGGTTCCAGGGAACCGGAACAACGCCATGCTGCCCAGTCTGCTCCCAGACACGCCCTACAACATCACCGTGGAGGCCGTCTATGCCGAGGGGCCCGGAGGGTCCCTGAACGGGAACGGACGGACAAGTGAGGAAGCCCAGCCTGGCTCAAAACCGTTAGCTTAGCAAGAACCGTTAGCTTAGCCAGCAGCTCAGCCCAAATCAAAACCGTTAGCTTAGCTCCTCCAGATCCACTGGAACTGACGGCTCCTCTCCCGTCTCTCCAGTCGGCATGCTGAGTCCCAGAAACCTGCGGGTCTCAGATGAGTGGTACACCAGGTTCCGGGTATCCTGGGAGCCCGTCTCTGCTCCGGTTCAGGGATACCGGCTCATCTACTCGCCTCAAGGTGAGTGCTGCTCCATCTGTCTCACCTGCTTCCTGTGGTTCCTCTGTGGTCCCTCTGGTTCCTGTGGTTCCTCTGTGGTTCCTCTGGTCCTCTGGTTCCTCTGTGGTTCCTCTGGTTCCTGTTGGATCTAGCAGCCTCTGTCGTGTTTCCAGGTAAGGACCAGCCGGTGGACTTCTTTGTGGGCGACGTCACCTCGTTCACTCTGACCAACCTGGAGCCTGGAACCACCTACGATGTGAAGGTTCTGGCTCAGTACAACACCGGGGTCAGCGCGCCGCTCATAGGAGAGGGAACCACACGTAGGTACCCCCCAGATGCATGATGGGAGTTCAGGTTAACATGGATGCTGCTGACGGCTTGTTGTTCTGATCGCTGCAGTTTACCTGAACATCACCAACATTGAGACCTACAATGTCGGCCATGACAGCTTCTGCATCAAGTGGAGTCCGCACCGCGCGGCAACGTCCTACCGCATCAAACTCAACCCTGTGGACCGTAAGTCGCCTCTGTCTTTAGTCCACACACTGCCTGGAAACGTCCTGGAACTTCCTGGAAACATCCTGGATTATTGATGTTAAACAATTTTGTCTTCTATTATTATTATTTTTACTACTATTAGTATCGTCTTTAGCATTAATATATGAGGTCATAGTAATACCAGTAAACATGTTAATTGTAACAATATTTTTATTTTATCTTTAGAACATAAACATAATTTTATTTTTAAAGTCCATGTGGATCAGAGGAGGACATGTTGTCCCCCCGGTCGAGTCGGTGTGGCCGGTTCTCTGACCTTTGACCTGGACTGGGTCATGCAGGCTCCAGTTCCGACCCGCAGCAGCTGGAACCGGGTTTGGGTTTGACAGGAATCCGTGGTGTCGGTTCCCTCCAGCTCTCAGGTCCATCTGGTTCCTGTTGCTGCTCAGACTCGGGTTTGGAGATGAAGCTTCGCTGGATGTGCTAGTCATTAGCCGCCGGAACAAATCGGATTCTGTGAGGGTGGAGAACCGCAGACAGCTGGGAGCCGTCCAGTGAAACCAGTGGGTTCTCCAGAGAAACAAGGGCTCAGTGTGAGGACGGGCCGGCAGGTCTGTTCTGCAGTTAGTGATGTCAGCCTGAGGGTCGGACTCATCGGCGTTCCGGTGAGGAGCAGCTGATCGCTCCTAAAACATTTTCAGCTCATCCAGACCTGGAGACTGCTAAGCTCTGCATTTAGCGCTTTTAGCTCTCCATAAATATTTTTTTCTGGATAAAATCTAAAGCGCTAATTTAATTGGCTGTTTCATAAACTTTCAGTTGAATAAAGTTTGACATTTGTATTGAAGTTTTAGTCGACTTTAGGAGTTCCTCAAGCAGTTTGATATTTATGTTCATGTTCTGATTTTGAAGTCAGTTTACGTAGCAGTTCAGTTTCTCCTCCTGAACTTTATTGGACAAAAGCTCCAGTCATCCATGGACCAGCCAATAAGAGAGTTCCTCAACGGCTAAAACAGAGGCATGCTGGGTACCAACGGTCTGGAATCTGGTGCTTTAGCATTAGCTTCTGCTAAATATCATGATGGCTTAACATTACTGGTTGGTTCCTGTTGGCTCCAGTTGGTTCCGGTTGGTTCCAGTCTGTTTCGGTCGGTTCCGGTTGGTTCCGGTCGGTTCCGGTTGGCTCCAGTTGGTTCCGGTTGGTTCCAGTCTGTTTCGGTCGGTTCCGGTTGGTTCCGGTCGGTTCCGGTTGGCTCCAGTTGG